AAACTTAATGGGCGTTGTGGTTATAAACCCGGGTGGCTTTCAGAGGCTGGGGGGGCTTATCCCTGCTGTGCCTGGCGGCCGAGGGGCTTGGGGGGCAGCCAGGCGGACGTGGGAGAAGAAGCCGGGGAGCAGTTAGATGCAAAGGGCCGGAGGGAGGGCAGGCTGGAGCACGGCTAAGCTCGGCACTAACTCTGGGGTTCACATCCCTGCAGAGCCCCCTTGGACAGGCCCTAACCCCCCACCTCCCTTTGTGCTCTGAGCTAGTAACAGGCAAGCGGAGAGCCAGCACGCCCCACCTGCAGCCGCCTGCTCTGACCTGCAGGGAAGAGCCTTGGCACGGCTCCGTCTCCTGCCTCCACGGCTGGGCCTGACCCTCCCTGGCTACGCAGCTGTGCGCCTGCTTTCCGTGCCGCGCTGCAGGACCTGCCTCGCTCCTTACACGGCCCAGCAGCGGGCGCTTCCAGGAGCCCCCCTGGGGCCAAACGGCCCCCCGGCTCATCCCAGTGCTGGGGCCAGGCGGGTGGGTGAGAAGAGTTGGCAAGCAGGCTTGGCAGGGCAGCGCGTTCGCAGACCCTCCCTGGCTACGCAGCTGTGCGCCTGCTTTCCGTGCCGCGCTGCAGGACCTGCCTCGCTCCTTACACGGCCCAGCAGCGGGCGCTTCCAGGAGCCCCCCTGGGGCCAAACGGCCCCCCGGCTCATCCCAGTGCTGGGGCCAGGCGGGTGGGTGAGAAGAGTTGGCAAGCAGGCTTGGCAGGGCAGCGCGTTCGCAGCCGGGGTGCAGATTCCAGGCAGCAGAGACTGCCCTGCCCCCGCCGACGCCGGCAGCAAAGCCCCAGCGCCATGTAGCAATCACCCGCGATGCCCTTGCTTTGTCTGTCTGGCCAGGTAGGGGCTCTCCAGTCCTGTCTGCCTGGCTGGGCTGGTCTCTTTCCTCCACCCAAGGGATCCTGGGCGCAGCGCTACGTGCCCCGTCAAACCCCGTTTTCGGGAGCCCTTCTCTGCAGGCTCCAGACCCCCCCAGAGCACGGGGGGTCGGGGGGGGGGGCTGTAGCAGGGGGGGCTAGCCCGGCGATGCCCCATGCTAGGGGGGTGGCATTGTACATGTTCAGCTCTGAGCCTGCTGCCGTTTCTCTTGGGGGGACTTCTCCCCACCCTGCGCTGCCGAGGGACTAGCCTCCATGCCCCCTTCACGCAGCCGGAGCCAGCCCTCCCCCAAGCAGGGGACTCCTAACCCGGCCTCGCTAAACCGCCCCCAGCTCCTGGCTTCGCCGAGTCCGAAGCGCTCGTGCGCCTCTCCACCCAGCCCGTCCGGCCTCGTGAAAATGCTAGTGCCACGTGGTGCAGAGGGGCCGTGTCTTAGCCCGGCTGTCTGAACGCTCGGTGTGGTGGGCGGGCCGGGGGAGCGGAGCCACGCGCTGCCAAGGAAAGCCATGGCCGCCGTGGGCTGCGGGGCCGGGAGGGGAGGTCTGGCCGGGCGTGTTGATGTGTCTGTGCCTGCGTCGTGCTGCCTTAGCGAAACCCTCTC